AATACAAAAAAAAAAAAAAAAAATTGAGTATTGCAGACAGCTGCTCCTGGACCATGCCCAAAAACCACAATCCTGTGGTAACAGCCCATTCTCCTCCTCTCTTTGAACCACTCCCCTCCACCAATTTAATCTTTCCAGGAAAAGGTGCTTCTCCCTGTGATGCAGACAGTGCCCCACTCTTCCTCATTAGGTTGCAGGCCAAGGGAAGTATCACAGATTGATGTACAAACTACACAGCCAAAGGCCAGGGGAGTAAGGCCATTTGTTTTGGCTCCCACTGCACAGACTGTTCACAGCTTCCAGTAGGTTAAGCAGCAGCTTAGAGAGGCATCACTCCCCTGGCATTCTCTGCTATTGTTGCTCACCTAACTTTGCCCCTACATACACATTCCATCAGCTAGGCAGGCCCCTGGGCTCCAGTGACCAGCACAAAGTGCAAGGTCCGCAGGTCGTGCCTGGTGTAGGCATGGGGGTATTTTTGCAGGTATCATGTCCTGGAGTTCAGCTTCCTGAAAGAGCTAGGACTGCTCTGTCACTGCTCCACCTCAGAATAGCTGGAGGGAGCCTTGGCCCAGACTGAGCGAAATCCAGCTCAAGCTCTTCAAGTCTGTGTATCAGACAATTTACCGGCCCTGTCATGCCCCTCACAGTGCAACTCCAACACTTAATCCCCAGCCCAGGAGAAAGGGGTGGTGAAGTAACTGGCCTTAGAACCATTCTTGCCTCAACTTCCTTCTGGTGTCACCTTGGACAGATCTCGTAGTTGTTCTGTGCCTCCATTTCCCTAGCTACACCCGGGACATGCCCCATACCAAGGCCCAACACTGAAGACACTGAACTCCCAGCTCTCACCCTCCTCACCACACTGCAGGGAGCAGGGGTGCCAAGGGTTTTCCATCTACAACTGCTTTCTGATGACAACCTTTGATCCCTGGCCCTTGCCATTCGTTCTCCCAGCCACCAGGAGTGTGACCCTGCCAGCACCAGGAAGCTGGAGGCCTACGCTAGTGGCTATGGTTTGCAATGATGTGATTGTGAGTCCTACTGCTCACCCCCAAAGCCTGCCTTTATCCAGGGGCCATTCTGCAGGCAGATTAAATTCCCAAGAGTAATGATATCCTAGGACAACCAGAAGAAAAGGCTGGTGCTGAACAAACACCACAGCAGGGGCAGTGACATGGGCATGCAGGCAGAGGTGTTTACTGGAGGTTTACTGGTGTGGGTCAGACAGGAATGCACAAGACAATGTCTTTGTCAAGGGAAAAAGCCTCTGCATGGAGGACGGAGGTTGGTGGAAAAGATTAACTGAGAAAACAGCAGCAGTTCCATTAAAAGCCACCAGGTCTGCTGATCTGGAACATGTGCTGCAGCCTCACAGAAGTTCTATATCCCCCCCATTGGCAGGGCAGTTTAGTGGCTTGGATAGCAGAAGAGGCTGCCGGTGATCGCTCTTCTCTTGAACTCTTTCCAGAGGAGGTTCCGTTCCTGCTTGGCTCTCTTCATGAAGCCCCTGTTTTCTTGGACCCTTCTGGCCAGGTAGGGCAGCACCTCATTCACAGGGCCGTAGGGAACATACTTGCAGACAGGATAACCTGCTTGCCCTGGAGAAAGAAAGCAAGGTAACTTATAGGATACCCTGGGCAAATCACCACCACTGCTCTGACTCCTGAGGTACAGCAGTTTACACCAACTCAGGATTTGGCTGCCCAGAGTCAGACTTTGGAATTGCATCTAGTGCAGCTTGTTCTCCTCTGAGACCTCTGGAAAGTTAATGGCTGCAGAAAGCAGTCTCGTTTTCACGTCCCTTGCCTCAAGGCAGTGCTTCCCCAGCCCAATGGGAAAAAGCCACCTATGTAATCAGCTAACAATCTCTTTTCAATCCTTTCACACCCCACCACGTTCACTAAGCTGACTGCGGCCTCTTTTGTGCTCCGATCAGGGATGTGCAAAGACCACCTCAGGTGGAGCAATGGAGAGCAAGACAGGCCCAAGCTGCTGCTGGGAAAGGGGACAATCTTGGAAGTGCTCTGGAGGTGCCAATAAAGGGATCTGAAGGAAGATGAAGTCATGGAGAATGGGTCTGAATCATGCAGCAGTAGTTCCGAGGGGCAAATAAGTGTTGGATGCAAAGTGTGTGGTGGAGAGAACTGGGAGTCCCTCTGAGCATGAGGAAGCTGGAGAGAAGCGGCTCGTGTCACAGGAAGCAGCAGTGGGAGACCCCAGAAGCAAGTGCATCAGAGCTCCTGCAATCCGGCCTGCACAGCTACAGGTAATGCCAGACTGCATCAGAGCTTTGGGACAGAACCCCGCTTCAGACAAGGTGCATGACCCCTCACAATGGGGTGATGGGATAGTCACCTGCCCCCAGGGGAGTCCTTCAGTAGTTGGTAGGCTCCAGCCCAGAAGCAGGATTGAAGTCTTTTTTTGGGAAGTTTTTAAACTGAACTTAACTCCTCTGGCTATATGTTACCCATAGAAGTGTCCATTCCTCTTTGCATGTGGCTAAGTTCTTTGCCTTCATGTTACACTGTAGCAATGAGTTCCAGTCTCCTTGCACCAGGACTACGCAAAATATGGCCTGGAGGCTGGGTCTGGGCTGCCCAACCACCA